AAATCGGCGCGAACGGGCTCGTGAGATCAGCCAGGGTGGCTCCCCCTTGGGGCTCCCAAATGATGCCCCTGGCAGCGTTTTGTGACCATGAGGCTCTCAAGAGAGACATGTTGGGGAGGCCAAACGGCAATTTTAGCTGAGACGTCCCACCAAAATCGGCGCGAACGGGCTCGTGAGATCAGCCAGGGTGGCTCCCCCTTGGGGCTCCCAAATGATGCCCCTGGCAGCGTTTTGTGACCATGAGGCTCTCAAGAGAGACATGTTGGGGAGGCCAAACGGCAATTTAGCTGAGACGTCCCACCAAAATCGGCGCGAACGGGCTCGTGAGATCAGCCAGGGTGGCTCCCCCTTGGGGCTCCCAAATGATGCCCCTGGCAGCGTTTTGTGATCATGAGAGAGTGTGAGTGTGAGTGAATGTGACTGTGAGTGAGTCTGAGTGAGAGCGAGTCTCATCTTATCTTATCGAGTCCTATCTTATCTTACCTTTATTACCCTCTATCTTATCTTATCTTGAAATATATTTTCTTGTCTTAGCTTATCTTATATCAACTCATCTTATCGCATCATATCTTGTCTTATATTATTACTCCATAGGCTGTCTTATCTTATCTATTATCCTACCTTGTCATATATCTTATCTTACATTATCATATCTTGTGCTATCTTGACTTATCTTGTAGTATCTTATCTTGTCTTGTCTTATCTGGTGATTATCATTGGGAGGAGGGAGGCGCGAGCGGGAGGAAGAAGGAGGAGGAGGAGTGGGAGGCGTCAGAGTAATAACAAGAACCCCAATCCTTAGGATATGGGGGATAAGGAACGAGGCCCCTATTTTCCATAAGTTGAACTTCGATTTCCTATCGAAGACATAAGGTAAACCTGAGGCAAGCTGTGAAACACTTAAGGAGCGCGGAGCCCCTCCCCCCAACGAAAAGGGTTCCTTCCTCAGGGCCCCGACTGTAGCTTCCACCACGTCCACGAGCGCCTCACTGCTTGGGAGCCACGCCGGCTGACATACTCTGCACGCGGGACTGTGTGTGTGCGTCGGGCTCCCGCAGCGCTGCGGACCGTGTGCCCTCGTGGGCGCCCCGTGGGCACGCCGCGCTTCGGGGGGGTCACGTCGAGGTTGCGCCGCGCCGCCGCGCGTGCCGCGCCGCGGGCGCCCCCTGCCCTTGGGAGCTCGCTGCGTGCTGCCCACGCTGCCGCCCGTGCCGCCTCGTGGGCGTCCCGAGCTTTGCGTGTACAGTCGGGGGCTTGACCTAAGGAGCCCAAAATAAGGAGCGAGGCCCCTTTCTTCCATACATTAAAGTTCGACTTCCGATCGAAAACATAAGGAACACCTGAGGCAAGCTGCGAAACACTTACGGAACGCGGAGCCCCTCCCCAACGAAAAGGGTTCCTTCTTCAGGGCCCCGACGGGACGTTCGAGACTGCGCAACGTCGCCGCCCGTGCGGCCGCGTGCGCGCCTCGTGAGCCTGCGCGACTGGCTCTCGCCGCACAGCCGGCACCGCACAGCTCACACCACAGCAGGACAAATTTACATCGCATGGCTCACACCCGACAGCTGCCGCCTCCAAATCAGCACGGCGCAGCTTCACGATATAGCCTGCACCACATAGCTCACACCGAAGAACTGCCACGCTCGTATCTCACAGCCCAGAGCTTGCAACACATGGCTTTCAAGCGTCTACCTCCACGGTGCAATAACGCACAGTGTGGGGTCCACGCTGGCTAGCATATGTCTCAGCAGAATGGTAAACGTCAAGGCGCTCTGTGGATTCGAGCACTCGTGTCAAGCTCATTTGCTCGGCCACGTGTTCGGGCGCACGTCGGGAAGGTTGCCAGTGAGAGCACACACCCAGTGTGGAAAACGAGCACGCCAACAAACATCGCTGCGAGGTCGCGTAGATATCAGCGCACACAGCATGGGGACTTCGATCAACAAAAAAGTCTAGATGGGCCAATGAACGTGGGGGGAAACGTCTGCTGTACCCGAACACCTGCTGGGTATGCCTGCGCAAACTTACCGTTGGTGCTACCGGTGTTGCAAGAGCTGCGAACGGCCAATATAAATCACACCCCAAAGTAGCCCCCGATAGGGACTCTGCCCACATCCAACTTTTGCAACAAACTCCAATTGGAGAAACCAAGGGGTACCGATACCGCTACCCCCCGGACCTCTCCCGGGGTGCGCTCTGACCATAACTTCGAGCCGAATCCAGCGGTAGCGACGAGGGCCTCCCAGGAGTCCCAAAAAGGAGAAAACGGCCGAAGCGTAGAGGTATGGGTACATTTTCCTCCTCTGACCAATATCTTGAGCGGGTGACGCTGAGGAGGGCACTCAGCAAGATGAACAAGACGAGCATGTACGCGAGGGTCGGCATCTCCTGCCACTTCCTGCTTTGACCCTGCAGCTTGACCTCGATCCTCCTGGTCCAGCCTCCTGCTCCCTTCCCGTGCCCCCCGTCCAGCCACCACCGGCAGACCTCCCCCCTTTCCCCCGAGTGCTCGATCTCCCACTGCGCACTCCTCCACCAACTCTCGCAGCAAAATCCCCCCCCCGTGTGGGAGGAGGAGGAGGAGGAGGAGGAGGAGGAGGAGGAGGAGGAGGAGGAGGAAGATTGGAGGAGGAGGAGGAGGAGGAGGAGGAGGAGGACGACGAGGAGGAGGAGGAGGAGGAGCATGAGGAGGAGGGGGAGGAGGGGGAAGAGCATGAGGAGGAGGGGGAGGAGCATGAGGAGGAGAGAAGGAGGAGGAGGAGGAGAGGAGAAGGAGGAGGAGGGGGGGGCTGGGACGAGGAAACATCCGTGCCACACTGTGGTGCGCAGGGTGCCTCAGCGCGCAACCACCCGCGACGTCCCACGGCACGCCCCGCGCAGGCTCTGCTGGGCGGGGAACGGCCCGCGCGCCCGTTGCCACACGAGGCGGGCGCACGGCCGCCAACGCCGACGCGGCTGGAGCTCGGAAGGAACCTCCTCCTCCTCTGCAGCCTCCTTCTCCTCGTCCTCGTCCCCGTCCTCAAACTCCTCCTCCTCCTCTCCTCCTCCCCCTCCTCCCCCTCCTCCTCCTCCTCCTCCTCCTCCTCCTCCCTTTTCCTCCTCCTCCTCCTCCTTTTCCTCCTCCTCCTCCTCCTCCTTCTCCTCGTCCTCGTCCCCCCCCCCCACTGCCTGCCGCTCCCTCGTCCTCCCTCCTCCTCCGTCGGTCGGCCGCAGCTGAGAGAGGACGCGTCTGGCTCCCAGCCAGAGCGAGCTAGAACGGGCGGCAACGGGCGAGGCAACGGTCGCAGCAGCGAGCAGGCCTCTCCGTGAAGCGTGGCCCCACATCCTCCCTCGTACATCCTACCGAGGCTCAAGGTCATAGCAGGGCGTGGGGATTTGCTCAAAGTCCCAGTCCCGCGCATGAGTCGGTTGGCGGGTAGCCCAGAGGGTGCCAGAATACAGCAGCCCCGTGCCACACACGAGATGGGGGCAAAAACAAAACAAGGCTCTTCGCGCGGTGCTGGTGGGTGGCCATTGCCCCACGCGGGAAATTTAGACAATACCGTTACATGACTGGGCGGCAGAGGACGCAAGACGGCGCTTTGAGGTACGGGCGCGATCACGTATAGCGAGCACTATATAGAGAGCGCATGGTTTTAGACAGCGAGCTGCAGCGAGCACTAAGAACTGTAGGCCATGTGGGAGTCCTGGCGGAATACCACACAGGAGGCCATAAAGGGAGACCCTGCTGGAGACCACAACATCGGCCGTAGGGGGAGAACACGGGAGGCCGCACAAGGTACGGGACCATACAGCAGCCAGCGTGGACCCCAAACAGTAAGTCACTGCACTGTGGGTGACAAGCTGCGTGGCGTAGGCCAGGTGGTGCACTGTAGGTGGTGCAAGCGGGAGAGGCGACAACAAAGTGGTAACGTGTGGCGACGTGGCGTAGACTCGCCGGACCCACCCAGCGCACAAGGCGAAAACGAGGCGGCAACAGCCAAGAACACGAGGCGGCAACGAGGCGGCAACGGGCGTCAAGGTGGCGAAACCTCACCAAATCCACCCAGCGCGCGATGCGGCGACCAGGCGACAACAGGTGGCAACACGGCGAAACCTCGCCCGACCCATCCAGCGCACGAGGTGGCAACGAGGCGACAAGGGCGGCAACGTGGCGAAGCCTCGCCAGACCCACCCAACACACGAGGCGGCAACGAGGCGGCAACGAGATAGCAACGTGCGGCAACGTAGCGAAACCGTGCTGGACCCACCCGGCGCACGAGGCGGCAACGAGGCGACAACGGCGGCAACGTGGAAATCTCGCTGGAACCAACAAGCGCACAAGGCGCCAACGAGGCGACAACGGGTGGAAACGTGGCGAAAGCTCACCGGACCTACCCAAGGCACAAGGCAGCAACTAGTCAGCAACGAGGCGGCAACGGGCGGCAATATCGCGGCGATGGGCGGCCGAAAACTATACGAGTTCCCCCGCTGAAGCAAGATGTGGACTTCCCTATGGGGCAAGATCCGCGTGAGGGGTGTGCCGACATGGGCGGGCGAACGCCATGCGATTTCCCCAACTGAAGCCATAGGTGGAGCTCCCTGGCCTTGGAGGCACGATCCACGGCAGGGGTGTGCCGACATGGGCGGAGTGGGCGCTATGCAATTCGCCCCCGATGAAGCCTTTGGTGCAGCTCCATGTGGGGCCTGTGGGGCACGGTCCGCGTGAAAGTTGTGCCTGCATGGGCGGGGGGACGCTATGCGAGTTACCCCACTGAGGCCAAATGTTGAACTCCCCGTGGTGCACCACGGTCCGTGTGAGGGGTGTGTCGACATCGGTGCGGCGGGGGGGGCGGGGGGGCGCTGCGCAAGTGTCCCCAATGAGGCCATAGGAAGAGCTCCTTCTTCTTTGTAGGGCACGGTCAACGTTAGGAGTGGTATCGAAATGGGGGACGCCATGCGAATTCCCCAAGTGAGGCCACACATGGCGCTTTCTGTAGGGCACGGTCCGCGCGAGGGATGTGCGGAGTTAGAGGAGGGAGGAGGAGGACGAGGAAGAGGATGAGCAGAGGAGGCATGAGCGAGCGAGTGAGAACAAGGTATGCGTGTGCGCGTGTGCGTGTGTGTATGTGCATGTGTGTGTGCGTGTGTGCGTGTGTGTGCGTGTGTGTGTGTGTGTGTGTGTGTGCGTGTGTGTATGTGCATGTGTGTGTGCGTGTGTGTATGTGTGCGCGGCGCTGTGGAGAGAGCGCGTAGACCCAACTCCACAGGATGTCTGGGGAGAAATCATCAAAACCTTCATCCCCGATCCTCCTTCGTCCACGGCCGCAGCCAAGAATACCCGTTGCGCCACGACCGTAAGGTGGTGCCGTGCCTGCGCCGTTGTTCTCAACCCCCGAATTGAGCGAGGGCGTCCGTCCTCGCGCAGCAGATCCAGCAGGCTGCTGAGGTCGTCCATGAAGACGCCCCTGACCAGCAGCGTCCACATCGAGTCGCCCACCGAAGCGAAGAAGGCCTCCTCCTCAGCGGTAGGATCTAGAGGACCGAGGCCCGGACACAGTGTGGGTCCCCGGAGAAGGCGGAGAGTGGAAAAGGCACGAGAAGAGACGAGCGGGGCTCCTGACATTACAGCGTGGCTGACTGAAGTCACTGGAGCAAGCCGATGTCTCCAAGACGGGGTCTGGAGGAGAGACACCCAAGACCCACGCCCTCACCCTTCTCCGACTCCCCTTCTCATCCGCATTGCGCACTCTACGAGGTCAGGCAACCACCCAGCTCACAGATAACAGCCCCATCCACCGATCCAGGACATGCCATCCGACACGTCAAAAACCAGTGCAACGCCGACGCGCTCCCTTTCGGCGTGGGCGTCTTGCTGCCGACGCCGCATCAAATACACGGCGGGAGGGGGACGGGGCGCACCTCGCGTGCGAGAGGGCGACACGTCGCCGTCGCATCGGCGCCGCGCAACTATATATGTTCGCGAGAAGTGAGCCCACGCCTTGCCGTCGCTCGGACGTCCATTTCCCGTGCATTGTTCGGTCTCGTGCGTGGTTTTTGTTGCTCGATGGTCCAGGATGGTCCTCGATGGCTCTCGCCGAGAAAAAGTGTACACGTCCGAGCGATGCCAGGACGCTCAGGCACGCCCAAGCGCGCGAGTCGCCCCTCCCCGCGGCTTCGTCCCGCCTCCCCTCACGGGCCCCTGGGCCGGCCAAGCCGCACCAGCACGGTCGAGATGGCCGCAAGCATGCCCAACCAGGACCCCGAGGCCCCGGAAGGGATACAGTCGGGGCGTTGACCTAAGGAACCCTAAATAAGGAACGAGGCCCCTTTTTTTCCATAAGTTAAACTTCGATTTCCTATCAAAAAAACATAGAAAGAAAACCTGAGGCAAGCTGTGAAGCACTTAAGGAACGCGGAGCCCCTCCCCAACCAAAAGGGTTCCTTCTTCAGGGCCCCGACTGTACCAGGGGGGCCCAAACAGCCCATACGAGAAGCCGAGGGGCTAGTTCTAGAACGCCCGAGGCCCCCAACACGTCCTGCAGGAGGCCCCTGTGACGTTCAGTGCGCACCTAGAGCGTTTCAGTGCTGGTTGCCTTTTACACATTGTTCGCCCAGGAGGCCGCAAGAGACCCCAATCTGCATCCACCCACATGACTCTAAAGGGGCCCCAAGCAGCCCTAGGATGGCCAGGCGGTAGCCCACGGCACGGCCGAGGAGGTCCAAGGATGGCCCGAAATCCTGCACTGACGTCCCCCAATCGCCCAATACTTTCCCACGATGGCCCCACAGCGGCCCCCATAGATTTCCAGATTGACCAGAGAGTTCAGACTGCTGGAGGACCAGCACGCGCCCAAGACGGTGCGAAGACATCCAGAGGTCATCCGGCAACCTTCCTTTGGGCCCAGAAAAGGCTCTGGGCCCTGAGAAGCAGAGATGCCATGTGCTACGTATGGCCTTCTCCAGACTGGAAGCGCTCGCTGCCACATGATACGACCCTCGGGGACCTGGGCACGGCCCTCACAGCTCCCTCCCGAGGATGATGCCTATGACCTGTAGCCCATACCTGGCTTACCTGTACCAGGAGCCTGGTGGGTGGGTCGGGGGTTTGGTCAAGCCCTGGGAGAGTAGAGGCCTTCTAGATGGGATCCGAGTAAATGGGGTCGATGGATCGCGCGCGACGTATCGCCAAGGCATCGCCGACGCATCGGCGACGCATCGCGATGCATCGGCGGCGTCAGCGATGCATCGGCGACGTCGGCGTGGAGAGAATTGGGCTCCACATCGAACCGCATTACCTTTGCATCGGCGATGCGGCGCTATCCTCCGACCCCATTCTGCTCGGACCCCATCTGCGAGGCCAGGAATACAACAGCATGTTATGCCGCTCACGCTGAGCAACTTCCTCTGGCACACCAGCGGCGCATCTAACCATGAAGGCGTGGGCATGCTCTGGATGGTCTGGGCAGCTTAGCCCCATGCCACTTGCAGACCCTCGCCCTTGACGAACGTTCGGAAAGTGATGGCGAACACGTACATGAGCAGAATGAGAACCACGAGTGTGATGCTCATCGACCTGACCGTGCCAGGACACAGCTGCCAGCTCGAGGAAGCAGGGATCCATCATGCGAAGAAGGCGGCTCGGCTCTGCGCTGCATGTCTGGCTCTGCATGTCTGCTCCCTCAGGAGCGCACTCGGGAACACAAAGGCAGGAGGAGAAGTGGAGGGTACAGTAGGGGCGTTGACCTAAGGAACCCGAAAATAAGGAACGGGGCCCCTTTTTTCCATAAGTGAACCTTCGATTTCCTGCCGAAAACATAAGGGAAGGCTTAGGCAAGCCGTGACGCACTTAAGGAACGCGGAGCCCCTCCCCAACGAAAAGGGTTCCTTTTTCAGGGCCCCGACTGTAAGAGGAGGAGGCAAACGCATCGGCAAGAGCAGGAGCACGGAGGACCGATGGGGCGGGCTGAGTGCGGAGCAGGGGTGAACGGAGGGGAGAGACAAGAGAGAAAGAGAGAGAGAGAGAGAGAGAGACAAGAGAGAGAGAGAGACAAGAGAGAGAGAGAGAGACAAGAGAGAGAGAGAGAGATAGACAAGACAGAGAGAGAGAGAAGGGGAGAGGGATAGAGCAACCGAGAGCAGAAGGGACTGGAAACCAACCCTACAGGAGGAGCGACAAGAAGACTTGTGAACAGGCATTGGAGAGGCTCGATCTGCCGCTGCGCCGACCAGAACGCCCTCGCGAGCCCGTAGACAATGGTCATCAGGTCTCTGGATGCGCGCAGTAGTCGAACTGTTCGAGCGATCCTCAATGATTGCAGCCAGGAAGTCATCACGATGCGATGCACGACTAGAGCTCCAGATTCCCGACCCCTTCTCCTCTCTTTCACTTTCTTCCATACGGTCCCTGAGGTGCAGCCAGAGACGGAAGCACCCCGAATAAGACGCTTCAACCTTGGCCAGGGAACCTAATGCGGAAGAACGCCCGCAAGCACGACGACGGCGGGCGGATGATGGAAGCGCAATGGTGCAGCCGAAAACAAAAAAAACACCCACCGAATAGAATGGTCCTGCGTGCGAAGGACTGACATACCGATGAGGAACACCGAATGCTCAAACAAAGCCTTGGGGAGGACACAAAAACGATACCGCTACGCCGCATGTTCCCCCCAAAGGGTTGGTCTAATCTTTCGAATCGAATCCAACTATTAGAAACATAATATCCCGGCAAAGCAACCTAACAGCGATGTGTATAAGCATATCTGGAAGCATTCCCCTTAAGATTCAGGTGAGACTCCAGCCGTAGAATTCTGCTGTTCTCGCAGTCGCAGTCGCATTCGCAATGACAGTCGCAGTGGCACCCGCCTTAGGATCCAATGGAATCCTAAGGATTCCTAGGGATTCCTAAGGCATCCTTAGGCATCCTTAGGAATCCATACATAGGAATCCTTAGGAAACCTTAGGGATCCTTAGGAATCCTGATTCCTGGAGATTCCTAAGGATGCCTAAGGATTCCGAGGGAATCCTAAGGATTCCCACCTGAGCCTGCCTCGGCCTCAGCCTCAGCCTGCCTCAGCCTCAGCCTGCCTCAGCCTCAGCCTCAGCCTGTCTCAGCCTCAGCCTGCCTCAGCATCAGCCTCAGCCTCAGTCTCAGCCTGCCTCGGCTTGCCTCGGCCCCAGCCTCAGCCTGCCTCGGCCTTAGCCTCAGCCTCAGCCTTAGTCTTAGCTTGCCTCAGCCTCAGCCTCAGCCTGCCTCAGCCTCAGCCTGCATCAGCCTCAGCCTCAGCCTGCCTCAGCCGCAGCTTGCCTCAGCCTCAGCCACAGCCACAGCCTCAGCCTGCCTCAGCTTGAGCCTCAGCCTCAGCCTGCCTCGGCTTGCCTCAGCCTCAGCCTCAGCCTCGCCTCAGCCTCAGCCTGCCTCGGCCTCAGCCTGCATCAGCCTCAGCGTCAGCCTCTCAGCCTCAGCCTGCATCAGCCTCAGCCTCAGCCTCAGCCTGCCTCAGCCTCAGTCTCAGCCTGCCTCAGCCTCAGCCTGCCTCAGCCTCAGCCTGCCTCGGCCTCAGCCTGCCTCAGCCTCAGCCTCAGCCTGCCTCAGCCTCAGCCTGCCTCAGCCTCTGCCTCAGCCTGCCTCGGCGTGCCTCAGCCTCAGCCTCAGCCTGCCTCGGCCTCAGCCTGCCTCGGCCTCAGCCTGCCTCAGCTCGGGCGTTCAAAATATGACACAGGACTTGTGTTCTGGGAACATGAAGATCACGAAGTGGCCCACAGTTGGCTCCGGGCAATCAAAATATGGTACAGGAATTGTGTTCTGGGAACACGAAGAATACGAAGTGGCCTACAATTGGCTCCGGGCATTCAAAATGTGGCCTGGAAATGGTGTTCTGGGACCACGAAGAATACGAAGTGGCCTACAGTTGGCTCCGGGCATTCAAACTGTGGCCTGGGAATGGCGTCCTGGGAACACGAAGAACACGAAGTGGCCTACAGTTGGCTCCGGGCATTCAAAATGTGGCCTGGGAGTGGTGTTCTGGGAACACGAAGAACACGAAGTGGCCTACAGTTGGCTCCAGGCATTCAAAATGTGGCCTGGGAATGGTGTTCTGGGAATGGATTCCTAAGGATTTCTAAGAATTCTTAAGGATTCCTGGGGCTGACCCTTTTGTCCGGTTCCTTGTCCGGATCCCGCCCAGACCCCCCTGGGGCGTCAAGATGCTCTCTTTTGATCCCACTAGAAGCCTATCAGCAAAAGCTGTTAGGTAACAAACGGCATAAGCCTGAACTTCTGGCGCTCCGCGAGGAGCGCCAAAAATTCATGTTTACAACGTCTGTTTCCTTCGAGGCCTAGGCTTTCGAATCGCATCCAGCTATGGCGACGAATGAGGGCACCCCCCGCAAGGCCCGAAGCTGCAGCTTTGGGTGGCAAGGGGGAACCCCGGCGGTACCGGCACATATTGGCACGAGGGAGTAGCTGGCCCCCTCGCGGACACGGGCCCTGGGCCCTGGGGGGATCTCCTCGGGATCGCCTCTTCGCCCCGAGCACTTCCTGATGGCACCAGATGCCTAAGGGGAAGGGCCCTGGGAGCCCGAGTCCTAGACAACTACCTCCTCCTCTTTTTTGTTTTTCCTCCTCCTCCTCCTAGTCCAGACTCCAGAGATCCGATATCGTGATTTTTTCAATGCGGAGTCCCGGGAAGTCTCGACCCATTCTCCAGCACGCAGTGTTTTCGCATGGACCAGACATTTGGGGCCCAACCCTGAGATATACAATAAGAGGCGTCCATCCTCGATATGGGTGCGTCCGAACAGCCCCTTTGGGGCGTATCCCAGAATTCCCCCCACTCTCTGAGCTGCCAAACTTTTCGGGCGGAACTCGGGGCTTGGGGGAAGAAAACAAATCGCCTGCGACCATTGCCCCCTGGACATCTCCCGGGGCGTGTTCTGACCAGAATTCCGAAGAGAATCCAGCCGTGGCGACGAGGGCTCTCCAGGACGAGCAGCGGGGTCGGTGTTTTTTTCCTCCCTTGAAGAACCCAATCCTTCTTCATGAGGAGTTGTTCCCTCCAGACACGCTCAAGCTTGCTCGTGCCGAGAGGTCTTCGCGAACTGGCCACGACCCGAGCCGGGTACGCGCGAACCGACGCCGCGGGGATCGCGAGGCCTGGCCTTCTCCAGCCCCCGCTCTCCTCTGAAGCCCTGGCGTCGCAGTTTCCGCAACGGGCGACTTTGATACCCCGTGTTGGCCCCCTGAGTGCTTACAGACCGAGTCGGCTCGCGGAATGCCGCAAATACGGTAGGGCCCAGGGATCTCCGGCCGATCCGTGCGCCGATGCCGCAGTTCCCAAGACAGCGCTTGCACTCAGGAGCTCTTGCTTGTGCTCCGAGGCAAACGTCGGGGATCTTCTGACCCGGGTCAATCCAGCCCCTGGTCAGTCAAGCCTTGCAGACTCCTGTAAAATCCTGCAAGATCCTTCACCCAAACCCGGGTCAATGCGAAGGATCCTGCAAAATCCTTCAGGATCCTGTTCCCAAACCCGGGTCAGCGCGTCCCTGGCCCTGCAGGATCCTGCAAGACCGAGCGCTCTGGCGGACCCCCGTTTGCATTGGCCCCCGTCCCTTTGGAGGTCGGAAAAAGGGTGCCAGTCGGGGAAAGGGCGATGCCATCCCCTTTACATAAAATTAGCACCACACCCCTTCACACCATACAGTGCGGGCGCGGCCGCAAGAAACCCTCGCAAGAAACCCAACCCTGAGAACCCGTGCGCGAGGTACACCTGAGGGAAAGCCTGGAGCACCCTGAACGCAGCAGCTCCTTCAACTGCTGCGGGAGGTCACCGCGCAGCGCGAGGAGCGAAAAAACCTGGGATACCCTGACGAAAAGCACTTGGTTTCTTGATGCGCGCCCCCACTGTGCCCCTTTCTCCCACCTCCAGAGTCTCAAGGCTCCCGAGAAAACTGAAGTGGCCCTGGGACACACACACACACACACACACACACACACACACATACATATATATATATATATATATATATATATATAAATACACACAAGTAGCTAGATTCCCCATATTTCCCATCATTTCTGGGCTTGTGTTTTCCCCACCACTGCTCCTATCTTCCATCTTTTCCTGGGGATCGACGACTCATTGTGTCTGCGTGTTTTCCCCTCCTGAACAACTTTGGACGCCCGAAATGGGTACGGAAAGCATGGGCACAATGTCCAACAACAAGTGTTGTCCCAAACCAACAGCGGCCGCTGCTGGGCAGGCGGTCTCCTGTCGCGAATGGACACCGGCCGCGGCGGCGTGGACAGCGAATCCGGTTCAAAATGAACAGGACTTGCTGTCGGGCATTGTACCCATTCTTTCCGCACCAATTTCGGGCGTCCAGAACAACGCGGGGGGGGAGAGCGCCGGGGCCCAGGCGGCAGGTGGCCTGCCGCCGCCGCCGCAGGCGGGGGAGGAGAAGGAGGAGGAGGAGGAGGAGGAGGAGGAGGAGGAGGAGGAGCAGGAGGAGGAGGAGGAGCAGGAGCAGGAGGAGGAGGAGGAGCAGGAGCAGGAGCAGGAGGAGGAGCACGAGGAGGAGGAGGAGGAGGAGGAGGAGGCGGAGGCGGAGGCGGAGGCGGAGGCGCGCCGGCAGCCGAGGGTGAGCTGGTGGTCCGGGCGGCTGTGCGGCCGCCCGTCGCCGCCGGGGCCGCGTCGCGCGCGCGTGCCGTCGCCGCCGCCCGTCGCGCGCGCGGGCTGCGTCGCGGGGCTCCTGCGCTGCAGTCGCACGGCGCTGCCCTTGTGCGGCTCTTGCGCTGCTCGTTGCGCGGCCGCGCGGTGCTTAACGCGCGGCGTGTCGCGCTGCTGTTGCGCACCGTCCTGCGTTGCGCTGCTCGATGCTCTGCACTGCATCGTGTCGCACTGCTTTTCGCGTGGCTGCAGCACTGCGCTGCATCGCACTGCTATCGCATGGCGTTGCGTTTGCTTGCATTGCTTTGCGCCACATAGACTGCAACACTTACATTGCACCACCTAGGTTGCACCACGTTGATCGCGCCGCATAGATTGCCACGCATCAGGTGCAAGAAATCACTGTTTGGGGTCCGCGCTGGCTCACATTTGTTCGAGACGTCGGATCTCGCGGTCCCCAGACTCCCTCGCGAGGTGGTGCTGAGCCAATGCAACCACCACCCACGTTGGTGCAGTGGCTCCCCTCCTCCTCCATCCCCTGCCACAAGGGAGGCCAGCGAAGGTCAGAGTGAAGGAAGAGGGGGCCAGGAATGACAACACTGCCACAACGAAGGCGGAGGGTGAGATCCGCGAGGAGTAGGGCGGAAACATTGCAGCTTGATCGAAGAGAGTGCGGATGGCAACAAGGAGACATATCAATCACGCATTCCAGGAAGCAAGCTGAAAGTAAGGGGCAAGTACAGCCCGAAATTATGAGACAAGCAATATGAGTGATTTACAAGCAAATGAGAGCGAGTCGGGAGGCCATAAGCATTGTCAAGTAATGTTGCAAAGCCATGTGCTATTATAAGTTGTTTGAACACTCGATGTTAACATCCATTGGGAACCTTTTTCGAAACGGTTCGGCATGCGCGCGCGACGACGCGCGCGTGTGCACGTCGTCCCATGAGTTGCAAGGGATTCCTGCGGAAGCTCGCGCAATAACGTTCGAGCGACTCGGATATGCGAGCGCGAGAGGCCCAGTTGGCAGCAAGTTATAACAATCTCAACAACAAACAGTGATTCCCTTAGGAGTTCGCAGGACCCCGAGCGCAAGCTCTTTTTGTCATTTTTGTTGGGCAACCATGTGTTGTATGTTTTTGGGACACTCGACTCTGGAATCCGCACGACACCTCAAGTGTTTGATTGATTTCGGCAAACGCGCGCGACGACGCGCGCGTGTGCACTTCGTCCCATTTGCTGTAAGAAATTATTGAAAACGAATGTTCTTTTTTTGAAAGAATGCTCGCGCATATTACTTGTTGCAGATGAATGAAGGGGGGCGATACCGGCCTGCCTGGGATGGTAGGAGTTCAGACTCAGGACGGACGATGGGGAAGAGTCATTACCAGTCAAAGGGTTCCGGGGGGAGTAGATCCTTAAACCTCTTTGAGAAAGGGGAATCGACGCTCTACACTCTATTTGGTGCAATATATATATAATGTATATATATATGTGTGCAGTCTATGTTGTGCAATGTTACGTTGTGCAATATGAACACGGCGCAGCAATCCAAAGCATTTAAGGGAGCAAGGCAACGTAATACAACTGATGCAGGGCAAATCAAACGAATGCCAATTGCAGTGTGCAGCCGTGCGAAGCCATGCAAGCAGTGCACCGCAATGCACAACAAGGCCCAGACGACGGGCGGCGACGAAGCGGCGACAGGGCGGCGACGGCGACAACATAGCCGCCAGAGAGCGGCACACGGGCCCAGACGACGGGCGACGACGAGGCGGCGCCGAGGCGGCGACGGGGCGGCTACATAGCCGCCAGAGCGGCACACCAGCCCGTAAGAACCGCCAGTGCAAGCACAACTTCGGACAAAATGCATGCGAAAGTGAACGCGGGGGGGGGGGGGTCCCGACCCGGGCCCCGCCCAGAAGGACCCGTGCGTCCCAGAGAAGTCCGCTGCACGAGCAAGCCTACAGGAAACATGCCAAGGAGATCCCAATCGGGGAACAACCCCCGAGACTACAGTCAAAATCCACAGCAAAGGCACAGGGTAAGGATTCAAGACCCGCGGAAGTCCCATTTACTGTCTGGAGCCCCTTGGACGCCAACGCTGGCTCATGGTGGGCCGAAGCAGCAGGAATGCAAGGGCAGTCTTGACGAAGCGACGCGTGCTCACTATGGATTCTAACCGTACGCGCAACTGATGAAGAACAACTCTCGAGACACATCGCCACCGGGATCGTTGCCAGGACGCTCGCGGGCAGAGCGGCCAGCGGGCGGCGGCCGCAGCTTGACGGCGCCGCCGCGCGTCCGGACGACGCGCAGCACTCGCATGACGCCCGCGGTCAGCACCAGTCTCCTGCACTTCCCTCGCAGCCCACTCCGATCGGACGCACGCCCTGGGGACCCTCCTGGAGCCGCTCGCTCCGCTCGTGCGTCGGTGCCGCGTCGAACGTCCGTCGGGCTGGGCCGACCTCGAGCCGGGCTCGCTGGAGCCGAGCCAGAGTGGAACAGGTCCGTGCGGTGGTCCCCAGGAGGGTCCCCCGAGCGAGCATCTCCCTCCGATGCCGCGGCTCGTGGCCATACCTGCTGGACGGATGCGCTGCCCCCCCCCCCCCCTCCTCCAACCACGCCTCCCGCTGGCCCGCCTGCAGGCATGAGCGCTGGGAGAGGCCAGGAGGGGGTATCGGGATGGACAGGGCAAAGGGGTTTTGAGGAAGTCGCCCTGGGGTGGAAGGCGGGGGGCCTTGCTCCCTCAAGTGGGATTCTGGACATCTCAGATGCCCCCCTTGACTACGACCAAATGTAGTATCAGTTCGGAGATGTGTAGCATATGAACGCAGACAAGCAGCATCAGAGTGGACCGTGAAACACTCGATGCTGGAAGGCGGGGGTTCGCTGGCTACAAAAAATTCAGCTTGGTAGCGGAGCAACGGTTTCAATACCACCTTTGAGTGGCCTGCGCGCGCGACGGCGCCCCGCCAGGCGCCACCAGACTAGAGGATCAGGATCCTCCAATCGCGCTGCTGCAGAGCGACTAGGTGAGCACCGAAGATGCGACGTAGGCGGTGACCTGCACCGCTTCACTGCGAAGATCAACTACTTCAAGAATGGAGGCTCAATGCCCATTCTTCCCGGGCCGGGCAGCTTGCTGGGCAGAAAAAGATCATGCCAAGAAGATGCAAGAGTTGGCTGTCGCGGATCTTGAGCGCATCACTGGTATTTCTTGCGTGAGTAACACAAAATGCCACACGCGTTGCAAGAAGTCACTAGGTTCGTGTCGCCAGGATGGAAGCCGCTCGACGAGAACCATCCATTCAAGAACTATATACAGTGACTTCAATTGTGGTGGAGGCGGGCGCCACTGGACGAACAACATTACCCCAGTGCGACCCTACCTAGAAGTTGGAGCCCCTAGGAAAGCATAATTAGTCGGTATGCTATGCTATGCTATGCTATGATATACCATGCTATGCTACGCTATGCTATGAGATGCTATGCTGCGCTATGATATGCTCTGATATGATATGCTAAGCTATGATGTGGAATGCTGCGCTGTGCTATGCTAAGCTAAGCTATACTATGCTATGCTATGCTATGCTAAGCTGCGCTATGCTATGCGATGCTATGCTGTGCTATACTATGCTATGCTGCGCTATGATATGCTATGGTATGCTTGGCTATGTTATGCTATGCTATGCCATACTAATGCAGCGCTGCGCTATGCTAAGCTAAGCTAAGCTAACCCTCTCGGCAGAGCCTAGGCTACCTCGGCATCTGTCGCACATTGCTGTTCCTTTGCCTTTCCTTTGCGTTGCTGTTGCGTTTGCTTTGCTTTGCTTTGCGTTGCTTGTGCGTTGCTGTCGCTGCTGTTGCTTTACTGTTGCCTTGCTGCTGTGCTATGCTATGCTCTGCTATGCTCTGCTATGCTATGCTGCGCTGTGTTATGCTATGCTGTGCTGTGCTGCGCTATACTGTGTTATGCTATGATATGCTGCGCTATGCTATGCTATGCTATGCTATGATAGGCTGTGCTGCGCTATGCTGTGCTACGCTCTGCTATGCTATGCTGTGCTCTGCTATGCTAAAGCTCAGCGAAGCTAAGATGAAGGTACACTAAGCTAAAATAAAACTGAGGTAAGATGAAGCTAAGCTAAGGTAAGCTGAAATCAGCTAAGCTAAGATGGGATAAGCAACGCGAAGCTAAAGGAACGTCACTGGGGGAACCGCGGGGCGGATCCTGGGGGAACCGCCCGGGGCGTGCCCCACTGCCCGCCCCTTTAAGCCTCAGAGTAAGAACCCTTCTAGGCAGATCCTAGATAGGGAAAAAGGCTGGGCCATACGTAGCGGCACGAATGCTAGGCAGAGCATTCACCATCGCAATGAATCTGCAGATCACAAGATGTGGAGTAACGTGCCAAGGATAAGCAGCACTGGCCTTGCCTCGACAGGAAGAAGAACGTGATGCCCGTGGAGTGATCACAAAGGAGGCCAGTGGAAGTGGAGCTGGACATCTCTTGCAGAAACTGACGGAGGCATTCGAGATTCGTGGTCAAGCAATACAATGATTATATCTGGGTAAGTTCCTGGACACGAGACGCAGACATCACACATTGTAGAAAAGCCTTCTCAACGTCAGAGCAAAATACATCGAGGCGAACGACAAGGCTGGCATACCCAGCAGTACGTCGGTTTCACATACATGCTGTTCAAATGGTGTTATCTACCAGCTTGTCGCACCAGCGACCTCAAGCTGCATACCGACGGGGACCTCGAGAAGTTCCAGAACGTGCACTTGATGCTGACGAGGATCGCGAAGCAGGAGATGGCCTTGTGAAACTCACAAAACAACCATTACGCAGACGACGACGATGCAGCTCAGCATGTGTTGGCCTACTACCAGGGTTATGATGGCGAAGAGGAGTTGGTGGACTGGGCACATGGTGAGGAAAGTGGCTTGCACTATCGTGAGTACTGGACTGAGTCTGGTAAGACCACATACAGGGCTTATGACGACGATGGCATCTGGTACGAGGCTTATGATATAGGGAAGTGGTTGAATGAACATGGCTTAGATCATGCATCACCGTTTATCGACGACAGGGTACAGGAGAAGATAGCAAAGGCAAACCACGCGGTGGTCGAAGCAAGTCTCGAGGACAAAATCTCGGTCGTGGCAGGGAACAGTGGAACAGTGGTGGTAAGCACTACGACTGGCCATTGAACCAGAGCCTCTGGGGTGACACGGGCGGCGAGAAACAGACAAGCAAGTACGGCAGAATGACGGTAGCGGATGCAACTTATTCGGATCGAAATGGCGCAACAGTCAAGACTGCCGGGCCAATCGACATCAGTCTGCCGCACCTCAGGGACAACAGAGCACGTCGGGACATGGCTTCGCCACCTCGTTCCACTCAGGAGGACATGACAACGACCACCTGAACATCAACCTCAACGCTTAGGAGGACCTGCCGTCAAGACCGTCAGCACCTTCGGTGCCGTCCACAGAGGCTCATGGACAGTCACATCACTATACACACCAACGCCAACGGACGCCGCCTCTGCAATCTACGATTGCCCTGAGTACCGAATCGACTATGGCGACAGCGACAACAATGACATGTGAAACGAACGCCTGGACGAACACGTTCACGACGAAGAGGCTAAAGAGCATTCGGGATCCACATGCCGCAGATTTCGGAGAAGAGCAAAGAAGAGTAAGAAAGGACACCAACAAGGATAAACCACACCCAAGGCTCAATTCTTGAGAACCATCTTGGAAGCACCTGGTCGACACGGACGACTGGCAACTGGACTGTTCGATTCTTCGCCCACGACATCGAGACCAGCGATGACATCAGCGAGTTACGTTCGATCTTCCTCAGCGTCCGAGTAGGCCTGCCGAGAACGATCAAGAGAAGGAAACAACACATCGGGCAACACATCGGGCAACATCACCGCCGACGACGACAAGAACCGCCAGATCTGCCGAATTACCCAAAACGGGCTCGTTCGCAGATATCATGCACACGGCGCTGCTGAACCAGCACACCTATCACGAAGAAGACGATCCTGCGGACAGCAGCTCAGCGGCGTATCATACGGTCCGGGGCGACACGAAACTAGGCATTGTCATCAACCATGGGGCTGCCAAAGGCCTACACACTCTGTGAGAGCTGCCAGACCTTGGCTTGGCTACGAGGTCAGAATTAGAAGGTCAAAACGTCATCGGCCGAGCTGTCCGGCATCGAAGGAGCAGGAGGAGGAGGGGGAGGAGCAGGAGGAGGAGGAGGAGGAGGAGGAGGAGGAGGAGGAGGAGGAGGAGGAGGGAGAGGAGGAGGAAGAGGAGGGAGAAGGGGGAGGAGGAGGAAGAGGAGGAGGAGGAGCATGAGCATGAGCATGACCATATGACGAAGTCAGCAATACTACAAGAGCATAATACATAGCACCTTAAATTACGCCCCTGGGACGTCGGGATGCTTGCTCAGCACGGCTGACGACCTTCGGCCACAACCCACGGGAGATTCGGTCTAAGTACTCGATTCCAGACGAGGTTAGCTTACGGAGGCAAGGCTGGCCAAGCTTGAGAATCTGATTAGCACCGAAACCAGCACAATCACGGCAGTACCATAACTTTAATGGGCCATGAAATTGCATATTATGGGATTCGTGAACGCTCCCCCCCGGTATATGGAGGGGGGCCAGAGGGGGTTTAAACCAGAGCACCCCATTATAATGGACTGGCTGAAAACACGGAGTTAGCCTCCAAACGACGGTGGTGGCTCTGGAGGCTGACCCTCCGCACCTCGTGCAACCCCGCCCCGTGTCATCCAGACAGTGGGAGGAGGAGAAGAGGGAGCACGAAGCAGCAGAAGGAGGGACGACGACGGAGGAGGACGATGGTTTCTCCCTCGGAGCCTTGCTCTCCGCATTCATCGCATCCAACGTCGACCTTAGGATCCGCATCCTGACCAGCCTCGCCCTCCTCTCGTGCATCAGCACACGGTGGCGGATGGCGATGGGCAGCCTGGCCTCCGCGGCTGCCCACCCCGCCACCTCGTCCACCACGCTGTTGCCCGTGATCATCCACCTCGGTGCGCGCTGCTGCACCACGTCGCGCCCCGTGAGGTGGGAGTTGACGAAGAAGACACTGATGCTGCGCTCTGGTGCTGCGGCCACGAGCTGGCCGAGACGGGCCCACAGGTCACCGTCGGGCCCCGATGGGGCCAGGAACTTCTGCTCGAACCAGCCCTGTACGACCGACTCACAGTCCGATACGAAAGTGATCGCGCCGACTGTGCACCACACGGCCAGAAGGAGAGCTCGCAGTTCGCCCCGAGCGACCACCTGGCGAGGCCC